TCTTTCCCTGAGCACATTTAACATACATGGAATTTGTCATTTGTCATTGCTTGGTTTTAAAATTTAAGCTACAGCATTAATCTCCTGAACTTGGATCAGGGCAACTCTAATTGATTCAAGTTTTGCTATGTCATTTTCTTTTCTTTCTTTCCTTTCCTTTTTCATTTTTTCCCTCTCATTGAGGTTACTTAAATTAGCTCTCTTATCTGCCAGTTTGATATCATGACTGATTTTTTCTTTCCTCTCGCCTTCAGGCCAAAATGCGGAGCTCATCTTGGTGGATTCGATTTTTTGTCCAAACCAGCTTAGAAGAAAATGATGCTGCCATCAGGAAGTTTGAGCCGGCTGCATCCAAGAGGTCATACCAACCGAGCTGTCAATTGTTCCATCTCAAGTCCTACAATTAATATCAGAATCACGAAATTTTAATTCCTTCACTATTTTTTTCATGCGACAAGGCCACAAGAAAAATGGGAAAAGGTTAACCTGGCATATAAAATGTACTCTGCTAGGTCGGTATGTTTGCTACAAGAAAAGTTAAAAAGGATATGAACGATTGACCCCTCTGTCAACCTTATAGTCGATGTTTACTTGATTTTGATGATGGAAAATATAGGCTGAAATGTATTACGCTTTAAATTATATTTTACATGACATGAATTTGGTTTTCCTGTTACTGTGCATTGCTTTACGCACTTGCGTTTCGCACTTTGTTATATGGTAACATAAATTTGCTAAACACTTTCTTGGGCATGTCTGTTAAATTTGCAAACCAGATGGATAATATGGATATAGTAAGGATGGGGAAGGTAGATGCACTTGTGCATTTTATTTATTTATTGGGTTCTTTAGAATGAACCTTTATGTGTCATTTGTCCCTGGTCGATTGATCCATCATTTATGAAGCTTGCAATTTTGAGTTACAGTTTGTCACGCTAGTTTTTATGTTAGGGCAAACTATAATACCCATTATAGGGAGATTTGCTCGAAATTTATAGGCGACGGCAGGAAATGATACCGCAATTGTTTTGTTTTTTTTTGGCCAAGAAAATCAGTTACAATTCAATCTTCTCTCAAGTCCTGAACTTTATGGCGCATTAGATTTTGGACTGTGATACAGAAAATGACGAAAAGAATCAATATGTACAAATTTGAGCATATCGGATGAAAATTACTCGTGCCTATACAAAATCTGGCATGAGTGCTTAACAATGGGGGGCTGATTTCTTTCCTTTAACTGGAGCTTCAAGTCCAATTAACAGAACTTGTTTCGTATCATAACCAGTCATTGATATCATGCTTCCATAACTTACTTTTTTGCTACCTTAAAAATGAACTTGGAGCACACGTAGTGTCATTTTGATCGCGGGTTCAAAATGTGGCGGTTTAAACTTATTTTGTTTGAACTATAACTGGTATCACCAATAATCCCCGCAAGAACAATGTCCGCCCTTAAAGCAATGAAACCTGTGATTATCTCTCACAGTGATCTCTCTCCCAGTTACAGCAGATATAAATTTGATTGCATTATGGCAATCCCCACATATCCTTAAGTTCTTCACCACAAGAATAGCCTCTCCTTCTTTAGTTGAGATGAGACCAAATGCAACTGCAAGCTTCTCACTATGATGTCCTAGTCTAATTTCTTTCTCCCCATCTACTGCTTCATCTTCCTTTACCATAGCCCATCTTACATCCGGTACGTACCCGACCCGTTTAATCTTCATTAACATGTCATCCAAGTATGAATGAATTTCTTTTATCATCGGATGGGAGCTGTCTTCAGCAACGAAATAAGATACTCTCTTTTTCACCTCAATCCAACTACAACCTGGTTTCTTCCGTACGCCTCTGTCCCGCATAAGCTTTCGTATGGCTGCTACTTCTTCCCATCTTGCATCACTAGCATACATAGTTGCAAGAGTGACATACGGAACTGCGTTTGAAGGTTCCAGCTGAAGACACTGATTGGCTGCCTTCACTGCTAGCTCCACGTTTCCATGTTTTCTGCAGGCACCAAGTAATGCAGCCCAAACATCAGAACCAGGCCTAATTGGCATCGACTCAATAAGCCTCTTGGCTTCCGCCAGTTTGCCTGCTCGACCCAAAAGATCTATCACGCATGAATAATGTTCCGCTTCTGGTTCTATCCCAAACTTTTCCTTCATCATGTTGAAATACTTCTGACCCTCCGAAACTTTCCCTGTGTGAGCACAAGCAGAGATGATGGAGATAAATGTTATACTCGAGGGTACAATATTGGCTTGGAGCAACTGCTCGAAAAGAGATATCGATTCCATTCCAAAACCATGTTGTGCATAGCCTGTAATCATCGAATTTAAAGAGACGGTATTATGCTCAGGCATCCGATCAAATAACCTTCTTGCATCCCGAAGATTCCCACATTTCGAGTACATTGTGATCAGAGCATTACTCACTGAAATTCTGTTCGAAGGGATCTCAGATTTGATTGCCAAAGAATGAATCTGTTTTCCCTTGGAAGGAGATGACAAGTTGGAGCATGCACTAATCACACAGACAAAGCTACAATCATCAGGGCAATGACCAATGCGCTGCATCTGCTGAAAACAATCAAGAGCAGCTTCAGAGAACTCCTCATTTTGAGAATACCCAGAAATCATTGTGTTCCACAGAACCAAATCCGGTGAAAGAATCTCTTCAAAAATTTTCCTACAAACCAACATGTCACCCGGACACTTGGAGTAAAAATCAATCAAGCCACTTCCCACGTGAGAATTCCGGTTGAACCCTGCCTTGATTAACTTAGCATGAAACTGAAGCCCGCCCAAAAAATCCCCCATAGATGTAAATGCAGTCAAAACACTTGCCAAAGTAAACATGTCAACGTTGAATCCCATCCTGACCATTTCCCGAAACAAGCTCAAAGCCTTCGAGCCTTCACGATTCTGCCCATACGCCACAATCATCGAATTCCACGACACCTCATCCTTCATCTCACTCATCCCATAGAAAATCTTCTTCGCCTCTCCCAAGTGTCCGTTCTTACCGTAATACGTTATAAGCGAATTGTTCACCGACGTATAAGAATCAAACCCACCTGAAACCGCGACCGAATGCAGCTGCCTAATCAAACCAACATCATCACTACGAGCTGCTATTGCCGCTGATAAAGTGAAGCCATCCATGTCAAGGCCCATCTCTCTCATCCCCCCAAACAAGCACAAAGCCTGTCGGGTATCCCCGCGATCGGCATAAGCGGAAATGAGAGTGTTGTAAGACACCAAGTCCGGTCGAGGAATTTGATCGAACAATTGGCGTGCAACATGGATCAGCGATTCTTTCGCATATGCAGCAATAATGGCGTTGAAGGTGAACACATTGGGTTCTGGGATGCCGTTAAAGGCGCGGCGAGCGAGAGAAAGACGGCCACATTTGGAGTATAAGACAATGAAGTGATTGGAAAGATAGGTTGAGTGAGAAACAAGGGACTTGATGTATAAGGTGTGGAGGGATTTTCCTGTGAAGAGGTCTCTATCGGCTATGCATGTTTTCAAAAGGTGGCGAAAGTTTTGCAGTGTGCGTGATATTTGATTCATTTGAGAAATCATTAACTGCAAAAAACAATCAGACGATGATTAAAACTGTACGACAATAGAGGTTTGTTTGCAACAGTTTTGTAAGCTTGAGGGTAATACATAGTTTGTAATTCTTGTTAAACAACAATGATGAAGAAAAATGTACCAACGAGTTTTGTTGGAAAAAAGTTAATTGACATGAGGCAGACGAGGAACATTAACATAAATTAACATAACGTAATCATTTTATTTGAGAACTTAAATTAAAAAGTGAATTTATACGAAAAAAATATTATAACAGAAAATATTATAATAATTTTTTACTAATCAGGTCATTTACCACAATTATTTTTTTTAAAAGTTGGTCATCTGCTATTGTTTCCTTAACAAATGAACTCATATAATGAGAAATTATTGTAAATAGTTTTTTATTTTTTTGAAGTAAATAGTTTTTAATTTTTAATTTTTAGTGTAGTAAAATTGTTTATTTATTAAAATTCATAGTGAATGTTCTTTTTAATTAATTTTAAACGAAGATTTGTAAGGATAAAAAAAAATGAGTTTTATTGACTAAAATGTAATTTAAAAGAATTAGTGAATTTTTGTAATTGATATATTTATTTCAGTGAAAGTACATATACTAAATTCCCACTTTTAGTATTCACGAACTTCCAAAAAAATCCCACCATTTGCTTTTAGAGATAATTATACTACATGGTAAAATTTTGTTTTTTTATTAAAATTTAGAAATTTTTTTAAAATATATTAAAAATAGTAAAAATAATATAATAATTTTCGTAATAATGTCACATTATGTATTAATAATCATGCAGTCGTTATTTTAATAATATTAAATTGTGTTGTTTTTTTTCGTTATTTTAGTAATATTAAATTTTGCCGATCTGGTAATATTTTTTGCCGCATGTGAAAGAGCACCTACTTTTATTCTCTTCCTCCCTCTTTCCTCATCGTATATTTTGCTAATCAAAATCTGCTTTCATTAGACGTGTTCTAATTAAATTTTGACACCTCATAAATTATTTTAATATTTTTAGTATTTAGTTTCTATTCATATGATGATATTACACAATTTAAATAACATATTAAATTAGTGAAAGAACAGTTAATGAGATAGAAAAATAGAGACAACAGACGTCTAATGAGTTACGTAACTACACAATTGTTTTAATCGCAGTCCAAAATACATTGAGCCTTGCAGTTTATGTCGGTCTGTGAGCTCATCTCATGTTTCTGGCAGAAAAAGGCCTTTAACAATGTTCCACGATTGAAGATTGGCTATTCATGCTTAAAAAGGAGACATGATCGTTTGCGATTGTAACTTGTACGTGTTCGAAGATGTTGATAAATAAAACACAAATGTTTATAACGAAATCTTAGCAATCTTATCATTTCATTAAAAGATGATAGATAGTTATAAAAAACATGTTCTGTGTTGTGTATTAACAATTACATTTATTGTTTCATGTGTGTGATTGGGTTTTCCACGTCTACAACCTAGGACCGACACAATTTAGACTTCAATAATTTTATGAAGGGCTAGTTTAGTCGGTCACAAGGCCACTTTTTTTTTTTTTTTTTTTTGGCTTTAAAAAAATTTTTTTT